TGAAATGATATTTTAAATATTTTATATTTTATTATCGTATTAAAAATTGTGATTTGACGGAAAATATTAAAATATTAACTATACATTGATCTCAAACTCCTGTATATTTTATTATTATTAACTAAGGCTACAATTTAATAATATAATATTTAATATAATAATTAACATTTAAATATTTAATATATATATATTTAAATGTTAATTGTAATAATATTTTAATATAATATAATATTAAAATATTATTACAATTAACATTTAAATATTTAATATATATATAAATATTTAAATGTTAATTGTAATAATATTTTAATATTTAATAATAATATTTTATTGTAATTAGACTGATAAAAATTGAACAAATATATATTCAACACAATATGACGCAACATTATCATCTCAGTAATTTTTCTTATAAAATATGATAGTGATTCTAGAGGGTTTGACCCCCCATTAAGTTAAATTAAAGCACCTAAAATGCATTTTCCGCTTTGATCAAAATCACAACAAATGCAAAGTACATTTAATATAAGCAAAACATACATTTTTGTTAAATCTAAGTTATCAGGGTTAAGTATTTGCCTTTCATACATCCAAAAAATTCTCTTCATTCTTTGTCGTTGGAAATTTTAAAATCATATTTCTATCTGGGCTCTTGTGTTTTAACACGTTACATGCATGCGTCCAAAACAGGTAAGAATAAGTTTTTTTATTTAAGTTATAAAACGCCTTCGTTACTTCCTGTTTTCCTAGCCATTAACATGAAACGTCATGTGACAAACATAATTTCGTGATGTAGAAATTCTTTAGTAATTAAAAATAGGAAATGGTTATTTTCTCATTATATAGAGTAATCGAAAAGTCACGTAATCCACATTAAAATATTGATAGTTGCAATTCAATACATTTCGATAGGATTAACAGAGTACACAAGAACCCACGAAGGTCACGTCATGTTGTAACCTGCTCCAGTCTGTCTGTTGTATTTCCGCGGTCGAGGTGCGAGGTTGTCGAACACTACCTGACATCGCGTTCCTACTTAACTTGCCAGAATGAGTTTCATATTTTCCGATTCTCCTGTTACAAACAAATTGATAATATCTCGTCTGGTAAACCCTGAAGGACAGAAACCCATTCCATTGAATCAAACTAATAAAATGGTGAATGTTTAACATGCCATTGTTTCTGTTTCCTGGTTTCAGTTTTTTTAACAAACAGAACATGTGAGTTGCGTGACTTTTTGTAGATTATACGCGTATTACTTAAACATCTCATTATTTTATTAGTAAAACTGGTATATAACACTGCTTTTGCTTAATAAAATCTTTTAGTATCTGGTTTAATACTGTTGTTATTCAACGTAACAGATTTAACAAATGACGGTCGCACTTACAAATCCATCTACGAATTGCTATTTTCACTGTCCATATTTCTTTGAGTTGTAAGATTGATTCTCATGTTTCAAAACACAAGCAAGCTTGCTTTGAATATCTCTTTTAAAATCTGATTCTTAATACAGGATATCCGTTGCTAACAAACATAAGTATCCGATATAAGTTGCCTCCAACGCAGACAGCACATCACAACATAACCTTGAATCACGGCTCTATCACAGTTACTTATACGTAAACTCGTACGTTAGCAGCGCATATAACAATAACACAGATACTTCAATGAAACACTCACCTCAAAATAAGTGTTAGCCTTCAAAATCTGGTCTGCAGAATCTCAGCTTGAAGGAAGAATATTCTCAATCACACAAACACTATTCGTTCACGATATGCCACATTTCAAAAGGACGACAAGGTATTTGTCGTTTTAATTACATATAAATAGAAATAAAGACCACGTTGAAGGTTATGTGAAGGGACCCGTAGTATAAAGGCGACAGGGCGTGAGCTCCTGTAAAATATTTTACTTCCTACACACACACACACACCAGTTGCACATACAAACAACCATCTTTGAAGCCCAGACGCCATATGCATTCCAAAGAAGTCAAAGACCACAGACACAACCAAGATTCCAGAGAGTTTGGGAAGGGAAGATACTCAATTCCCAACAACACCCTTAAAACTGAAGTAAACTGAGCGCAAAAGTTTTAACGTTGAATAACGTTTATAAAATCACGGTACACTCGACGGAAACTGTAAGATGTAAGGTGACGCTGGTGTTTAACTTCTTCAAACGCCAATAACTCGAGACCTATGTAAGATAGAAAATATAAACCTATATGTAGATTAAAGAGTAAATACAGGGCTTTTTGTATACGATGTTTACTTTATTCTATAAATTGTTGAAATAATTACCCAAAACATGTAATAACTATAACCTCGTTCCTTAACTTCAACCGCTTGCCACGTCTAAAGCGTAAGAGTTAGATCAGGACATATTACGAGTGAAATACGTAAATAAACACGAGCTTTTCAAATTTTCAAGCAGATTTCAGCTAACTCTTACGGTTTAGGAGTTTTGGCCATTTATTTGGTAACAAAGAACGGTTCTAGAGTGAGTGTGTTGAGTACATGACGCAACACGTAGATAAGCTGTCGGAGGATGACGTCACGTATAGATAAAATGTATAGGAATACATTAAAGTGTGAATAAAATTTTATTTCAGTACAGATATACTTCTACAGTTAAACTTTATTCAATGTTAACTAGGGAACCGTGGTTCCACTGTCAATTTTTATACTCTCAAATTATTTCGCTTGTGATTTGTTAGAAATAAAATCAAATTTAATACAATTATTTATATTAGTAATAGGAATAAACATATCGATTCCTTTTGAGGGCTGTGATCGATATCTCACGTCCTAAAATCAAGGCAATACGTTATTATTCCAAAGTTACTTGGCCACTCACAAGACAGGTGAGGCAAATTAAACGTGTATTATATAGCGTGGCCTCATTAATTTAATATAATCTACCTTATAGGTTTGTCCTTCAGAAGTCAAGTCCAAACTTGCAATTCTTAAGAACAAAAAATAATAATAACAACACAGGAAATTCAATAAAATGCTGTTCGAGTAGGAAAATATCTCAGTCAGTGTCTAGACCATTTGAGCAATCAGTTTGCAGTGTGCCACCAGCAAACCGTGGTTTTGTGTTTTGAAAATAATACAAAAATAAGACACAACTCTAATTAAAAAGTTATATTTCTTATAGGAGATGCAAATTTAAAAAATGTTAAGTGACGTACTGACACGTCTTATGATATTACTAAGTGTTTTGTCTTCATGTTCGTGTGAAAATTCTGCTGACAACGATAAATATGTCCTACCAGACTATAAGTTAACGACGGTAAGTACGGTATTAATAAATTAATGTAAACTGTTATAACCCTACTTAGCTTGGAGGATATTTAAGGTTCTCAGGGCCTTTAAGACATTGATAGTGGTCTTCAGAATTGTGATGCCAGTGATTTAGTAATAAAAGTGCTTATCAGCTGTTTGGAGGAACATGTCACATGTTCGACTGAGATTCGTTAAATAAACCACAAACTAACAAACATCTAAATATAGGGGTGATATGTTCCTCATATTTTATAACAACCTCCAAGACGATTCAAAAGCATAACCCAGAACATCACAATCAAAATCTGAAAGAAGTTTATAATAAATAAGTTTGATAAATTTTAAGAATGTATTACACACAAGCACTTTCCTCCCACCCCCATTTTATAAATTGCATTTGTTGATTTGTAAGTTTATTGTAAACGGATTGGATGGCCTTCTGTATATTTATAAGTTATCTCCCGCAGACGAGTAATCCTCCGTAGGTCTTATTCGGACACTACAGTCTTGTAGCTGTCCAGGTCTGAACCTAGCCTAACCAGGGGGTTCAAAATACTGGATTTGTATTCTTCTCCTCTTTATTATCTTAAGGTGGAAATAGACAACAGCTTTCGAAACGTTTCATTTTATAATTTAAGACCACGGATAAAGTCCGGAGGGAAAAAGTTGTCAGCGGAACCACGGTTCCGGAGAATTTGACGTAAATACGTCTATGCGGAAAGGAAGTTTATATATTGGCTTTATTCTAAATATTTCCTTTATACATGCTTTACATTTGAGTAAAGTTTGATTAAGACATTGTTTATTTAACTTGAATTAATTACGCTTAAGATGGGTCTGTGGTAGCTGAATGTAATGTAAAGTAATGTAATGTAATGAAATATAGCGGATAGAACGCTGGCCTTGTAATCCTGGGGTCTCGGGTTCGATTCCCGGCGGTGCCCGAATTTATAACTTGTGTTGGGCAAGGCCGTGGTTTAGGCAACACGGAGCTTTCCTCCGTGGCATCCCAACAATTACTCCATTCACACACAGAAGAAGGCAATGGCAAACCACTTCTGGATCATCTGCCAAGAACGTATATGAACAGGTCCCAGCCCGAGAAAAGGATGGAAGGATCCTGTTCATACGGACCTGTCGTATAGACGTATTTACGTATTTTAAGCATAAAACGCACAATCATCAGAAACCTTCAGACTAACTTTTTCTGTAGTAAATGGGTTTTAAAATTGCAGCCTGAAATGGTGATGAAGAATGGATACCCTGTGGAGACTCATACTGTAACTACAGAGGATGGATACGTCCTCAGTATACATCGTATTCCATTTAGCCCCAAGAACGACAATAAAGAGGAATTTCGACCAGCGGTATTTTTGCAACACGGTTTTCTCTGCAGTTCATTCGATTGGGTTGTCCTTGGACCTGGTAGAGCATTAGGTAATTCGGTTATGAAACTGTAAAGATAAGTTGAGTATTAAACCCTGCCAATGCACACAAATTTCATTACATTTTAGATGAAAATCAAAATTTAATGGAACTTCAGATAAAAAATAAATAAAATTAGCGAAATTCTAAATATACTGTTTATTTAAATTCTAAAGATCCTTAAAAGGATTAAATCAAGGATATAGAAGATAGAACGTACACTTTAAACAAACATAAATATATAGTTGCTTGTTAGAGCTATTTATAGACATCTCATTCATATTAATACTAGCAGAATGCCCGTAATCTAACCAAAGGCCTGTTCGTTCGATACGTATAGCTAAATATCGTGTAAATCGATTTACTCCTTCTTGAGCTAAAAGCGAACATAACCCATAATTTCAACTATACAGGGTGAGTCAAAAACTTTACAAACTTCGTGTGCGTGTTCCAGTATCAAAAATAAGAAAAAATGTTCCTAAGAACGTGGGGTCGCAAATGTTTCATTTTCGAAATAATAGCAAAAAACTCCTGTCTCCCATAGATCTCGCCTGAGATTATCCTCCCATCTATGTCTAGGTCTCCCCAGAGGTCTCTTCCCCTCAGGCTTCCCAAATAGTGGACCCAACCAACCAGATGGCTTACCGAACCCGAAGGTTCATCACCGAATTAACCAAAGCCCTCCACCGGACCCTGTCCTGGGCCAACAAAATCCAGTCTCCTTCAACTCCTATCTCCCTTAGATCCCGCCTGACATTATCCTCCCATCTACGTCTAGGTCTCCCCAGAGGTCTCTTCCCCTCAGGCTTCCCAACTAATACCCGGTGCACATCTCTTGTCCCCTACAATCGTAGTTTTCATTAAATTTTCTTAATATGTTCTAATTTGTATAGCAGATTTTGCAAATTAAAAATTCTTAAATTCATTGTTTGCTAATTTAAGAAACAACTGTGAATTATTTGTATTTCAACTACATCCTAAAGACTTTTATACTTTGCTATAATTTCAGCCTATTTGCTGGCAGATAAAGGCTACGACGTGTGGATAGGAAATTCAAGAGGAAATGTGTATTCCAGCAAACATCAGACCTTGACATCAAAACAGAAATTATTTTGGAACTTCAGGTACTGTTAAGTACGAATATAAACCACTAATATTACATTACTTGCTATGAGAAGTGTTTTAAAAGGACATATCATGTACATTTTGGAGTGTAGTTGATTAAATAAAGCTGAAATATGTACACCACTTAGTTTAAGTTTGATTACCGAGCAACATTAAAACTGATAATTAATATCCAACATAAATTCAAGCGTACAACTGCACATCGTGCATACAAGGAAACAAACGTAATGAATCTGTACATAATGTTGAGAAACCCCGAAAGACAAAGGTACATAATAATATTTAAATCGATCAGAGGGATGTATAATGAAAATATATAAACTGGACTGAACTGATATAGGTTATGTAAGATTTGAGGTTATGTCCACAGACAGAGTTTCGTAATAACCTTTAGGTTACATAACAAGGAATCTCATTAACAGCTGAACTGTTGCTGCTTAGGTAGGATCTTACATAAAGGAACACGTTAATTACTTCCTGATTTTTAATCAGATTACCTGTTTTCTAAATTTTGTAATGATAATACTCGATATCAAAACTTCATGAGAAGAATCACGAATAAAAACACGTTATGTTTGCAGCTGGCATGAGATGGGTGTGTATGACCTACCAGCTGTCATTGACTACGTATTGGCAAGTACAAGCCAAAAAGATTTGTACTATATTGGACACTCCATGGGCAATACCATGTTTTTTGTTCTTACATCACTCAAGCCGGAATACAACAAGAAGATTCATCTCATGGTTGCCTTGGCACCTGTCGTATTCATGTCCTACGTCAAAAGCGAACTCACAAAGCTTGCCGTTTATAGCAGGACAGGGGTAAGTTAAAAATCAGTTTTGTAAGTGTCGAGTGGGAGTGATAGGGGTACAATTCTAGACTTTGTCTCCTGGAACTTTTGTAACAACTGTAAATTGGAGATTAAGACGCTGAATTTGAATATTCTGAGATTATACTAATCATCCAACTTTTTCATATTATTTTCAACTCCTGGGGTCTTTTACAAATTCTGCTACATTCCATCCTCCGAACTGTTCCATCCATACAAATTAATCTGCAGATTTTTAATTTGTAATATGTGCTTCATCACTTAAACCTTTATTTATTTATTTTTTTAATTCGTGAATGCCTATAAGTTGAAATATATATCCAATTGTCTGTTGAAAGTAAATGTTAAAGATCTTTCTTTTGTAAGATTTTTGTTCAAAACACACGCCTTCATTTTACAACATCTCTGATACAGTTTTGAATTTTGAATTTAATTAAAAAATACCAAAATTGAGGTTAGGTTCAAATAGTGAATTAATTTATAACAATAAATAATACTATTAATTTGAAATTAACATGATTTTCTGCTTGTTTAAGAGGTTTCATATTAATATTTGCTTTATAACCGACGGACAACATGTTTACAGGAAGAAGCTGATCGAATTTACAACAGCCCTTATTTCACTCCAACAAAAACATGGACTGAAGGTGTGCAATTGGCGTGCCGCAAGGGGTCTGTTATCCAGGGTCTGTGTAGTTCCTTAATCTTCATGATTGGAGGTTTCAATCCACAACAACTCGACCCGGTAAAGGAACAAGTTCATATTTTCACATTCATTTATTCATTCTAAAGTCATAAAATTTTATTTTTCCCGCAAATCAAGATCCCCTGTATTATTAAGTGATTTCACTTTGAAATATACTAGTAAATTTTATCACCAAAATTTGATGAATCACTTCCAGTGCCTTCTGTATGGGTTAAGAGACCATCACCGATGATTCCTCCATGTGGTTACCTGGATGGCAAAATTCCCCACAAATACTTCCATGAGCAAAAACACACATGAATTTCCGTGGTGTAATTATTTTTGTCCAATTATAACCTAAAGCAGAATGTGCAAATGTATTTTAGTAAAACTCCCCAATTGCAAAATTTCATAAAAATTAAATCTCGAGTGATTCCATGCGGACGGACAGATTTACAAACACGGAAAAACTAAGAATCACATTTTTTTAATTACTAATTGTGAAAATACTTAAAATAGTGTGGATGTGTACTCCTTAATACGGTGGTCCATCCGAAATGCATCTCCAAAACCAATTATTATGAGCAAATTTGGTACTATCTGATTTTAAAAAAACACAACGCTCATCTTTTTGGAAAACATACACAGTACATATACCAATTTATTCCTACAGGAGCTTCTGGTGTTAATACTATCTCACTATCCTGCCGGATCCTCTACAAAGGCTTGGGTGCACTACGGTCAATTAATGAGAACAGGTAAATCTCAGCTTTACGAAAACCGTACCACATTACTGAAAACGTTGATATCCTATACGCAGAGTCCCACAATATAAGGTAAGACTAAACGACAATCAAGTGGTTAGCACTCCTACTTCATATTCAGAACGTATCAATTATCTCAGCTTGCCACCTATTCCAAATAAGATATTTCATAATTTTCCTCAGTCACTACAGGCGAATTCCAAAATACCACTTTGAATTAAGACATAATTCCTTCCTTCAATGTCGTTTCCAATACATTATTTGTTATCTTGTTGCTCCCTTCAATGTTGTTTCCAATACATTATTTGTTATCTTGTAATGAGACACTACATGAAGGATTTTAAAATTAAGCTTGTTCGAGGCACCGATAGCAAATATGGTGAGTCCCAGGTGGATCAATCATGCGTCTGGATGCATAACAGAAAAGCAATCAACCACAAGGTATGCATCAAAATTGGCAGATCACAGCAAATCAGGACACAATTAAATTCAATTATTCAAAGTTCAGACTGAGTCCAGACAGGACAAATGAGCTGTCATCTAGTTCCTCGGCTTTGAGGGTTAAAGCTAGCCAAAATTCATGACAGAACGTGCGCTGTATACAGAAATATGTGGCGACAGGCAGGAATCAGAAGTTCCATTCAAGTCAACAGAGAATAATTGATAACACGTGGCCAAATCCATGCCATCCCAACATCGAAGAATGTTGAAAAAGTAGAGGAAACTTCTTGTGCAAAGACAACACAGGATTCACGCACCGTGCAAGATGGTTGTGGGTCCTTCGAATGGTCATTGATGTCAACAGCAACCACCTCTAGCTACAGCTGGAAGATGTCAGTACTACCAGGAGACAGCATCCTACTAATGCAGTTGTATATGACTTCCACAAAGGCCAAGACCATCACTGGGGTATATCAAATTTAACAAAAAGATCTTCAGGTGGCCCTGGGTGTAAGGGAAGGCTCAAATTGTGTCGGCTGACCTAGCATTCAGATAGCAATTTACATGCGTAAACTTCCAGAATTCTGTATGGTCCAAGGACCAGTCAGATCTACATACGAGGTGCGATCGGAACGTTTCCAGACTGTGTCAATAGAGGGCGATTTCGGAATGGCGTGTGCATCAAATTTTGCCAAAGGCTCGCCAAAATGGCTACGGAAACCTATGAAATGCTAAAGCAAGCATTTGGGGAGTCCGCAATGGGTCGTGCACAAACTTTTGTGTGGCATTCACGTTTTAAAAATGGCCGAACCTCTGTCGATGATGACGAGCGTTCTGGACGACCATCTTCGAGCACAACGCCCGAAAATGTTACGAAGATTCGGCAGGCCATTCACGAAGATCGACGTCGTACCATCAACGACTTGTGCGACATTGTTGGGATAGGCTAGGGGACCTGTCAGCTGATTCTAAAGGAAGAACCCCACATGCGACGCATCGATGGATGAATTTAATACCTGAGATAAGTGTACGGGTTTTTATACGCGCAGTCTGAAAACCTTCCGATCGCGCCTCGTATATCAATATATTGCAAGACGAGGCAGGTATCTCTCAGTCTCCATGTTAAAAACTATTAAACTAGTCTTGTATCTAATAATGTTCTGCAATAAAACTTCTGTATGATAGGAGTGAAGATAAATAATAACCTATGTAAAAGTTCACTCCTAAATTTTATTTTTAAAATGAGTAAAAATTGTGAACAAGCGGAGAATATTTAAAAACTCGAATAACTAGTTTTCACACAAGATTTAGATTAGATGTTAATGAAAAATAGTGGTGGATAATAAAATGTAATTATATTCTAATCTGGTTTTTCAGGCAAATTTCAACAATATGACCACGGCGAAACACTAAACTTGAAGTATTACGAAACTCCTACACCCCCACAATACAACTTATCTGCTGTTGTAGCTCCTGTCAGATTATATAATGGTAAAAATGACTGGTTATCATCTATAGAGGTAAGCGCACAGTCACAGCGCGGAAATAAACATCACAGTTCAATCAAATTCAGCAGAATTTTGTTAATTTTTAATTAGTCAAATATTTACTAAACCAGCATATAATTAACAACTGCAACTTCCTTTAACCTGATCTCTTAAAGTCGTTCATAAGAATTTTAACAAGTAACTAATTATACAGAGTGAATTAAAATTGCTTTTCTTTACAGGACACAAAAGAACTTTATTCAAAGCTACCAAACACTGCTGGCATGTATCAAGTGAAACTCGAAGCTTTCAATCATGTTGACTTCCAGTGGGCTAAGGACGCAAACACGTTGGTATACAATGAAGTGATTGGCTTCATTAAAAATTTCTGAACTTCAAAATACATTGTACAGTTAGATGAAGAGAATAACACAAATGTGCAGATGTGGAAAACAGAGAAATTAGCCTGATAATTAATAAATCTAAGAAATTTTTCTCAGAAGCACACGTATGATTTAAAACCCTCATCAAATTAATAAAATCATCTCATGCTATCAACTGCATGAAATAATAAAAACTCACTACCATTGAAGGGACCATCTCTGCCCCACCATCAGATGGCCTGATAATGGGAACAAAGATATTATTATTATTATTATTATTATTATTATTATATTTAATTTATTACTGATTATTGTTTTGTAATAAATTAACATTGACATTTATATATTTAGTTTATTGTTTGTTTGTTTTTGTATTGTAATGTTTGCATTGTTGTTAGTGCTTGGCTGTTATTGGCCGTATTTGGCTGTTATTAAGCACTTAAATAAATTAATTGAATTGAATTATTATTTATTTTCTGCAATTAGGTTTGCGCCCGGTGGCACTGATCCTTACACTACACGATTATAACAAAATACACACAATACAAAAACAAATACACATTTCAAAAACACACATCCATTAATTAATCACATTACTTTAGATTAGAATATAAAGTCAGACCTCAGTACATGAAACTTTTATCCCAAAGAACTACAGCGCTTCGTCACTTGGAGACTAAGACACTTCCCTTATCACCATCTAATCCGCACTTAATAACCCTTTGATTGTAACTACTTTTCTGGCCCTCTTTCTAAAGGTGCTTAATTTACAGGGGAAAGACTCTAGCACGCCTGGAGGTAATTGGTTCCAGCTTCTTATGGTCCTATTTACAAAGGAATATTTGCCTACATCCGTTCTTTGTTTCCTAGTCCTAATTTTCAGAGTATGATCGTCCCTGCCCAGGTAGCATGGCTTTAATAATCTATCCTCTATCATTTTCCAAGCCCGGCCCCCCGTGTATGCTTTGAAAAGGGCGCACATTCGGGCTATCAATCTACGCTGTGCCAATGTTTCCCAACCAGATTCGTTCGTGAAATTAGCAAATTTAGCCGCTCTCTTCTGCACCCGATTTAGTGCTCTTACCTGTCCTTCCCTGGAAGGGTCCCAACACACAGCTCCATATTCAAGTATCGGTCTCACTAGCGACGTATAAGCTAAACGTTTCGTATTGTTATTTCCCTTTTTTAGTATACGCATTACGAAATGGAGAGCCTTCCATGCTTTAATTAGTGTATAATTCACATGATCTGCCCAGCTCAGATCACTGCGAATAAGTATTCCTAAGTACTTAAAGCTATTTGCCTCTGGAATTAATTGATCCCCAAAAAAGTAACTCAGCTTATCCTTCACCCTAGCTCTATTGAAGCTGACTGCTTTACTTTTACCTGGATTTATCTTCATTTCATTTTCTACCGCCCATTCCCATAATCTATTCATATCTGTCTGTAACTTATCAATGTCACTACTATCCATTATTTTCCTGTATACTATACAATCATCAGCGAAAAGCCGTATATTTGAATCAATGTTTTTCCAAATATCATTAACATAAGCTAGGAATAGCAAGGAACCTAATACGCTCCCTTGCGGC